CGTGGGGAAGTGGCGAGGGGGACTGGGGCCCCCAGCACCGTGTCCCCTTCTGGGGGACACACATGCTCTGTTCTCCTTGGGGAGGCTGACCCCGCAGGCACAGGGGCAATGTGGGGTGGGGGCTGTGCCCATGTGTACATGTCCGACATGGAGTGTTGCAGCGGCCTCGAGCATCATGCTGCTGTCGGGGGCACGTGGCCGGGCTCTGGCAGAGACCTGGGTGAGTGCCCAGTTCCTCTCTGAGCCTGGGGCCCAGTACCGGGGCTCTCAGGGCCTCAGCCAAGCACTTAATCCTCGCAGCCCTTGCGGCATGGTGGAGCGTCCTTCCCTGAGCGGCTGTGTGCCGAGGTCCCCAGGGTGCGGGCCGGCCCGCGCCACAGGAGGCTGTGGAGCAAAGCCCCCAGCTCTCTGGGCAGCCTCTGTCTGCCTCTGCCTCGGGCCAGTTGCAGTCCTTGGCGTTTCTCTCCCAAGCCTGGCACGCTCATGTCCAGCTGGCTGCGTGCACGCTGCGAGTTCGGCCTTATGGCCCAGAGCTGTTCGTTTTGGGGTGTCGAAGCCCTGGCTGCCCTCGCAGCCCTCGTCAGAGGGTGCTCAGTCCGCCTGAGACAGGGAGGGGGGGCCGGGGGAGCCTGCAGAGGGACCTGCTGTCTTGTGTCCCTGCAGCAACATCATCGACGTGTCGGCAGCGGATTCCCAGGGCATGGAGCAGCACGAGTACATGGACAGAGCCAGGCAGTACAGGTGGGACCTGCCCTGCTCCCTTGGCGTGGTTGCAGCCGCGTCCCTGGGCAGGGTGGGGAGGCATCGGGCAGGGCCTTGGGGTTTTGGCCTTTGGGAGAGGAACTCAGCGTGGAGCAGGGCTCCCTGCTTCCAGGGGGGTGGTGCTCAGCCCTGCTCCTCTCCTCCACCCTCCTGGCACTGCTGGGTGAGGCTTGTGGCGGTGCCAGCGGCAGAACCCTTGTCCTGGCTACAGGCTCAGCGGGGGCGGCCGCACACAAAGGGCTCTTGTGTTCCCCCCCCCCCGGCACTCGGGGTAGACGGCGGGTGGCTGGATGCGATTGCTGCCGCTTGAAAGGCGCCTGTGTTGGAGAACTGGAAGCTCCCTCATCCTCCTGCCTCGGGGGCGAAAGGGGGCAAGTGCTGGGAGTCCCCTGCTCCCCCCCAGTGGTGCCAGTGCCTGGAGGTGCAGCACCCATCTTCTGCTGAGCCGGGGCGATGCCGAGCAGGCGGCTCCCTGCATCCCGTTGCTCCCTGGGGCAGGCTGACGCGCTCGTCCCCAGTGCCAGCGCTGACCCTCACTGTTCTCCCCTCCGCAGCACGCGCCTGGCCATGCTGAGCAACAACCTGACGCACTGGAAGAAGCTCCCACTGCTGCCGTCTCTGACCAACCAACCGCACCAAGTGCTTGCCAGCGACCCCATCCCCTTCGCAGACCTGCAGCAGGTGAGGGGCTGGGGCCAAGTCCCCTGGGCCCCCTCGGTGCTCCGTGGAGATGTGGGGGCTGAAGTGCTCTCGTCCCGGAGGAGCTGCAGCAGTCTGGCCATGCCGGAGGGCCCCAAGCCGGTCCCGGTGGCCGCTCTTGCTGTTTTCAGCTTGGTATGGCCTCGCCGGAGGAGCACGGACACCGCTGGCTCGAGCACGGGTCGTGCCGGGGCTCCCATGAGCCGCGGTGCTAGTGGGTGCTGTGGCCGATGCAGAAGCATCCCGAGTTTCAAGCAGTCCTGTAAGGACTCTTTAGCCCTGAAAGCAAAGCCTGGTCACACGTTTCTAGCGCAGTAACTGCACGCAGACAGCGGCTCTGCTCCTTCAGTCCCTTCAGAAGATGGTTGTGGCAGCAGCGCAGGCAGCCTCCCTCCCGGGGAGTCCTGCTGCTGCTTTGAGGAAGGAGCTGCTGAGGAAA